GCCCGCGGGTGGGCAGGGCGCGAGTCCCCGGGAGGATGGCAGGGCCCTGGAGGGGGTGGGCGGAGTCAAGGGTGAGGCAGAGATGGGGTGGGTGAGAGACCCCCAGGGAGGGGACAGAGCCCCAGAGATGCAGACAAGGAACCAGAGATAGGGAAGGACCAGACTGGGTGGCAGACACACAGACCCAGAGAGGGGTGGCCCGGATATGAGTCATGGGAGTGGGGCTCAGTCTGTGGAGACTGGAGTAGAAGGACATGGGGCGGGACCCCCAGGCCTTGCAGGTGCCGAGCTCGGCCGGCCACTCCAGGTGCACCGCGAAAGTGGCTCCTCCCATGCGGACACACTCACTTCCCAAGATCCCGCTTGGTTGTTGCGCCAGTGTGGATGGGGGCAAGTGTGGGCCATGGGAGGAGGCCAGCAGAAAACTGGAGAGGTGCGGGTGTAGACCCCAGGAGGCCCGCGGGGGAGGGAGCAGTGAGGGGTGAACAGAGGGACCGGGCCGGACCCTCGGGTGCTCACATGTAGGAGCCTCCGCTCCTAAGAAATGTCCAGAACAGGCAGATGGACAGTCCCTTAGCGGTTCCAGGAGCAGGCTGGGGTTTGGGTGACAGTTAGAGGGTGGGAGGCAAGCCTGGTCTGTGAACCAGCATACGGCGAGTACGCTGCCACAACCGGGACACTCCGAGTGGGTGGACGTGTGGCTCGGCGCTCCCAGGCTAGGAGGAGCCCTGCCCCGAAGTAAACGTTAGTGCAAACTGTCTCGCACAGCCACGTGGGGGAGCGGGATGCTCGGAGCAGTGGCTGAGGCACGTGGCCGGGTGGGTTCAGCTCAGGCCTGTGGTCCTTGCAGACCAGGAGGCTGGGGCGGGGCGAATCGCGCTGTGGCAAGACCCTGTCAAAATACCCCTCTCTTTCTCCTGTGCACGGCCTTTCTCAGTAAAAAGAAATACAAAACATTTTCTTAAGCTGGAGATGGACTCAGGGGTGAGTATGTATCCCCAGGCAGCAGGAACAGCAGGTGTGCACAGGGTCGGCTGGTCCCTCCCCTCTGCCCTAGTTCGCAAAGAGGAGGAAAACGACAGTGGTTGGGGTGAGGCCAGATAGCCCCACCCTGAAGGAGCCAGCCCCGCCTCAGAGCCCGAGGCCGACACCTCCCCTTGGAGCAGCAGAGGCCAGAGCAGGGGTGGCCGGGGCAGGCGGAAACACGGGACAGGCACTGAGCCGCGGCGACAGGGCGACGGGGACAGGCGCGGGCCCACTCACCGGTCATGATGCCCACGTAGCAGTAGCTGTAGCTGAGTGTGTCCATCAGGGACGGCACGTCGGGCAGCAGCCCCAGCGAGGGGCCCTGGCTGAAGCCCGAGGCCATGTCCTTCCTCTGCGCCAGGTGCAGGTCCTGGACCTCACTGGCCAGGCTCACCAGCTGGAGGGGCGGGGCAGGGACGGTCAGGCCTGGCCCACCCCCGGCCCATCTTGGTCCAGGCCGTCCTCTTCCTCTAGGCCCTGTCCTCATGAGCTCGTGGGCTCTCGGTATCCACAGCTGCCTGGACGCTGCCCCCAGCCCAGTCCTACACACCGGGGCCTACTGCTGTGAACACCTGGGTATCTCCAGGAGCGAGTCAGGAATGGAGCACGTGCTAGCTACGCCCCAAAGCCAATTCTCCTGTCTCTCCCCTCAGAGAGGCCCCCTGCACCCACTTAATTCTCAGCCCACACTGTCGCTCGCTCTCAAACCCAACCCCTTGTCTCACGAGCCTGCTTCCTTTCTTCTGCCTCCACTGCCAGGCGAGTACGGCCACCAGCCCCCCCAGATCTACCCGCTGCTCCTTCCCACCCGGGAAAGCCCACACCAACAGGTCTCAACCCTCCCGCTTCCTGCTGAGCAGCATCCACAAAGCCAGCCAGAGATGGAGGGAGGGCGTTTGTTCCCTCCGAGGTCCCTTGGCCATGAGCCTGGAGAGCATTTAAGGGAGAAGGCTACACACGCCCTTCTCCCCTGCAGGTCCAGGACCTGTGCCCCAGCCCCCCAACCCCTGCGCCACCCCTTCTGCTTCTCTGCACCCCACCCGCACTGCGATAAAGAAACCCCCTCAGTGGACCCTAAACAGAAGGTTCCTGCTGGGACGCGACCAGGCCTGCAGGCAGCCGACAGCAAGCCACGCCACGTGCCACCCAGACTGCGGAAGGGACCCCCACCTTCCGCCCCGTTCCACTTCACTTCTCTTAGGGTTGAGTGAGCGTTTTTTCTTTTTAATGTGTCAGACAGCACATGCGCTCATCAGAGAGGCACAGAGAGACGGACGGGTGGGGCACCCTGCCAGCAGGGTGTGGCCATGCCACAATCCCTTTTCCGTTTCTCTACCTGTTGGGATTTGGAGGGTGCACAGGCCCAGCGCGTGTTTCAAGCCGAGGGAGCTGGGATTTGAACGGTGCAGTCGGCTGTTTGGTTATGGCTCCCTTAACTACGAGGCCATGGAACATTTTAAAAGTAGTCACCGGATCAGCAGAGGACATAATGGTTACGTCACTGGACTCCCACGAAGTGGAACCGTGGTTCGAATCCCAGACCTAGCGGTTTAAAACTCACATTGGGTGCATGTGCGTGCATGCTCAAGATCCCGAGAGGAGAATAGAGGAGAAGGGATTGTGGCATGGCTATCCCCCCTGGGGAGTGACTTCTCGCTTTCTGTCTCTCTGGTTAGTGCATGCGTCCTGTAGCAAAAACCTCTCAAAAAAAAAAAAAAAAAAAAAAACATCACGGGCCACCACA